AATATGTTTGTGATAGGGTTGGTGTCTCCAGTGGCGGACAATATTAGAAAGAGTCATCTTCAATGGTGTGATCACACTAAACGTCGACCATTTGATAAACAAGTTAGGAAAGTAGATGTTATAGATTTGACTTACGTTAAGAAAGGCAGAGGTAAACCTAAAAAAACTTGGGCATATTGTATAAAAATGAACTTAACCTATTAGAATTAAATGAAAATATGACACTCAATAGGACACAACGGAGAAAAAGGATTCATGTAGCCAACCCCACTTAGTGAGATAAAGACTTGTTGTTGTTGTATTTTAACTCACACAATTTTTAAATTATAAGGCTTATGCCCTAGGCCACCTTGAGACTAATGCCTCTTCTCAATAATGAAAAACGCCTCAATACCTAATTGCATAATTTTATATATTGAAAATTTATATTATCATCATAAGCTTTCAAGTAATATACTACTTCACTCAGCTATTGACATAAAATTAAACTATCATAAAAAAAGGTTTGATAACCTTAATATTTTTAGAATTCTCACAAGCTTGTAGGCAAATCCACCATAAGGGAAATCTCCACTCTGCTAGAAAAAAAAAATTCTAACCAAATTTACTGGTAAGCTTTTTTTTTTTGTTTATATTAAATATGATATTAGTAGGAAGTTTTTTGTGGGATTGGTGACTGGAAATCCTATATATGCTTAGTTTATTGTGTGAGGATGTTGTCTAGAATTTATGGTAGAAAGATAAGTCCTTTAGAGGGAGAGAGAGAATGGAAGGAAGACCGAGACTAATATAACTTGATTTGAGCTGATATAAAATATATCTTTTGATAGTAGATTGAAGTGATCTAAATGGGGGGACTTTTAATATATGATCTTATAATCTAGAGTACATAGTTAAGTTTGTTGAGGTTTAAATCCTCATAATGGTGTGGAGAATAAGACTAACAGATATCCACTTAGACTTGGCCAAAAGCTATTATGGGAGGCTTGGAGTAAATTTAAGGACTTAGGTGGTAGGCCCTTGGCTTAGAAGGTGGTTAAGATGTAGAAAAGAAGTGAGATGATTTCAGAAAAAAGTTGCATATAAATTTAAAAAGCAAGAATTATAAATATCAAGGAAAGGTTAAGCTAGGTCACCAATCACTAAGACAAGCAAATCTCCAAAACATTTTTTATCAATCGGAAGTTTAAATTTTTCATAAAATAACAACAATATTTGTTGAATTTATAATGATTTAGTTCCTCATCATTAAAAGGGAAGATAATAATTTTGGGAAAAAAAGAGATGAGTGGCCATTAATATGTATCCACCACCATCATTAATCCATTTTAGCTTCCAAACTTCATTAAGTGACTAGCCCCTGTATGTTCCTTAATTAAAATGAAAATTCAAATTTCAAAATCTGAAATATGAAATTTAATTATAAAAACTTAAATAATAATTAAATGTTTCGTCTTAAGTGGGCTATTATGATAGGCCTTAATTGGCTTTTTTCCAAACAGTTCCCTAAGCTCTAGTTTAGACATGGATATTTAGCTTCATTTTTTTTTTACTCACATGATGTGCTACATCAAAATAAGTTATAGCTAAAAAGAAATGGAAAAACAATAGAAAGAGGAGCACGACTAAACTCTTCAATATATTGTGATATATAGAGCAACCATGAGAAGTAAATTAGAAGAGAGAACATAAAAGTTGGTTAGAATTTTGACTTTGATAGAGAAAAAAGATGGGGTACCAAACAGGCTTAGGAGGTGTAGAAGGGAATAGTTTTAATAAGAGAGAGCTTGGAGATAGTGAATGAGAAGGAAAGAAAACCTAAGGGAGATTTTGGGAGAGAAAATTGAGATAAGTGACCAAGTGGGGTATTATGTATAATCATAAACCAAAAAACCAGAAAATGCACAGTCAATTGAATAATTCACCGAATTAAGGTCCTATTTAAAGGCTTTCAGAATCACTAGTCCCTAAATACAGGTCATGCTTATCCAACCACTTAAAATTCAAAACCCACCAACAATAATTCAAAATTAAAATAAATAATAATAAAATAAAATAAAAAAAACCCGGCATCTTTAAATAATTCAAGCAAATAAAAGTCGACACAAAAAGCTAAAATAAAATAAAAAAAACCCGGCATCTTCAAATAATTCAAGCAAATAAAAGTCGACACAAAAAGCATCAGATGGCTTATTTGCATGTATTGGAGTGTAACAACATCAAATTCTAATAATTTGTGCTCCACAAGATAAAATCATGATCTAAACAAAAAGCATCAATTGGCTTATTTGCATTGATGTGTACCGAAAGGTCCGTGACAATAGAGTAATGAACTAGTGTCTTAACGTTGCACGAAAACCCGACACACTCATGTAATTGAGTAAAACCTTAGAAAGAGAAAAAAAACCACTGGACCTAACCCAGTTGAAATAAATCACTATGAATTATGAGTAAATATGTCCACTCTTCTCTTGAATTATAGAAGATGAAATTACAAAGTGGATCATTATTAATGTATAACAATAGTCATTCACAATAGTTGTATTCAGGCTGTAATGAATATAATTCTTAATAATAACAGACTACAAAGGTCAAAATCGATTGCTATAGAGACAATAGTTCGTTGGGAATGTTGTAGATGAATATAGCATCAGCTTGTTGTATAGACCATAGATGAAAGCTAACATAGCCTATGGTTGCTTCAAAAGTGTCAGTTGGCAATAGAGACCGTAGTAGAAAGACACAAGAGCTGTGAACCATGTAGATCATAGGGTTTGTTTGGGGCGGCGGTGAAGCACCGCATTGTAATTTTATTTGTTTGGATAAACTGCATTTTGACAGCATTTTCAAAAAGCTTCCACCGAAACCACGGTCCTGGCTAGGTGCGATTATAGTTTTTTAGCTGCGGTCTGACTTTCTAAAAAAATTTGTATAACCACAAAAACATTTTGAACATCAAATTATTCTTCAGCAATTTCAAAACTGTTTTTTAATAAGCTGCAACTGCCCGTAGTGGCGAGTTATGACAACGTCGGTAGGCCGCTGATGTCAGAGTTGGGGTTTGTATGAGCTGTGAGCCACATAAGTCGTAGTTGATCTTTTAGACCATAGTGGCGAGCAATGATGACATTCGTAGGTCGCAAAGATAGGAGTTGTGAGCTGCGCGAGCTGTAATACATGTAGGTCGTAGTTGGTCAAGTAGGACACAGTAGTGAGCTGCGATAACATCCATAATTTACAAGTACCGGAGTCGAGAGCTGCACTCTGTGGACCATATAGGCCATAGTTGGTCATGTAGGCCGTAGTGGTGAGCTGTGATGACGTACGTAGGCTGTAAAGGCCGAGTCGGGAGCTACAAGGGCTGCGAACCCATAGGTCATAGTTGGTCACATAGACCGCAGTAGTGAGATGAGATGGTGTCTGTAGGAAGTAGGGGTCGGCGTAGAGAGCTGTGCCGGTTGTGAGTCATATAAGTTGTAGTTGGTCACATAACCTGTAATGATGAGATGTGATGATGTTCATAGGTCGTAGGGGCCGGAGTTGGGAGTTATAAGAGTTGTGGACCAAATAATTCGTAGTTAGTCACATAGGTCATAATTGTGAGTTGTGATGACGTCCATGTGCTGCAAAGACAGGAGTCAGAAGTTATACAGGTTGTGAACCACGCAGGTCATAGTTGGTCATATAAGTCGTAGTGGTGAGGTGTGATGATGTTTCTAGGTCGCAGGGGTCGTAGTCGGGAGCTATGCTGGTTTTGAACTATGTAGGTCGCAGTTGGTCACATAGTCCGTAGTAGTGAGTTATGATGACGTTCGTAGACAGCACGGCCGGAGTTGAGAACTACAAGAGTCGTCAACCAAATGAGCCGTAGTTAGTCACGTGGGCCGTAGTGGCGGGCTACAATAAGAAATCTTTAGGATTCAATAGAAAATTACCTTCTTCCGGGTGCATTGTTACATCTTTTTTGGGACACGTTGTTGCACCGTATGTGAGGTGTCGTTGCATCGTATGTGGGGTGCACGAGCCGTAAACCACATATGCTGTAGTTGATTACGTAGATCATAGTGGTGGGTTGTAAGGAGAGAGTTTTAGAAGTCCAGAAAAACTCACTATAGTCGGGATGCATTGTTTCACTGTTTATGGGAGGAGTTGCATCTTATGTGGGGTGTGTTGTTACATCGTATGTGGAGCGTATTGTTCACTATCTTCGGGGTATATTGTTGCATCCTATTCAGGGTGCAATGTTCCATCGTTTTTGGGGTGTATTTTTCCATTATTTTTGGGGTGCATTGTTGGACTATATTCATCTACCACTTACTCCTTGCAGCGAAGAACCTAGTGGAGTCATAACGTGCATTCCAGATTCTAAACGTAGTTGTGGAACAAAAAAATACATGATAATTTAATATGGTGAACATCAAATCAGACGGTGCCAAATGGACTTAGGGTCTGTTTGGGGCAGCTGCAACAATTTGAAGAAACAGCTATAGAAGAAATTACATTTTAAAAAGTTGTGGTAATTATCACAAATTTATTTTATTTTAAAAAATTCAGATCGCTGATTTATAGTAGTCATCACACTTTAACAGCTCAAGTTGAAAAAAAAAACAGCTTTCTACCACGGAAATTTCAAAAAAACAATGAAAAAACAGTTTCTCAAACAAAACAATGGTGACGGTCTGAAAAACAAATCAAGCAGAAAGTTATCCCAAACAGCCCCTTAGTGTTGCTCTTTGCAAGTGAGTGATGGTAAAAAGACAAATTAGTAGAAACAAAGGAAAAGAACACACCAATCAATTTGGAAGAAAACAGAATAATGACAACAATACTGAACATCCATAAAGTTTAAAGGCACTATTTGGGCATTATCATGGGCGAGCATAAAATAACCTAACAAAATTTTTCTTTTCTTGAGCAATAACAAACGGAGGTTAACTTGAACAATCACACAAAAGATCAAAGAATCCTCTAAAAAAGATATTATCAGATTACGTTCTGAATGGCATTTAAAGTTATTGATATCTTAATAAGTAACGCAGTTTCAACTTTCTGATGTTAAGGTGAGGCGAACATCATAAATGTAAAAGCCCTGACGATGGAAAGTGATTAGTAGTGATACCGGGAGCGAAGCTCTTGTATTCGGCGCTCAAATTCTTCCATGCGCGGCATCCAATCACTTCTAATCTCTATCGGGCGGATGCTGCCGTAGTCGTAATTCGCCCGAAGGAGCTGCTCCGTATCATCCCCACTCTTTGATTCCCTTCGCTTCTTTCCCTTTCGGAAGCTCCTTTGGACTCTGCTGCCGCCTCCTTCCTTTCGAGCGACAGCTTCATGCATCGCAAGAAGGACGTCCGACCCACGAAGTGCTCCACCAGCGGGATACACCTTCGACTTCCTTGAACTGGTACCAGTCGCTCGATCATCGCCGCCGGAAGGATCGTTCGGTACAGCTGAGGAGGAGATGGGTGAGAAGACGCGGTCTGGGCCCGTGCATGAGGAAGAAGAAGGAAGCCGACTCGGTGGAACGAGCCAGGCGGAGAGGAGGGGCTTCGGTGGTGCGGCTAATAGCATTTTGCGATACGAAATACGAAAGGGGCTATATGGCGGAAAAATATTGGTACAATTTTGCAAAGCAGCACTTAAATTAATTGATTTAGGGGAGGGAGTCGAGGAGCACCATAAAAAATAAAAAAAAAAATAAACTAGGAGCATTAAAGCCCGATTATTTACATACGAAAAACGCCCTATTTAATATAAATATTTTAAAATTGTATAAGATATTATATATTAATATTAAAAATATTATATATAACATTAATAATAAAAATAAATGAAAGTTATATTATATTAGATAATTTCAAATTAATTAAAAATATAAAAGAATAAAATTAGAGAATGAACAACAAATAAAATTAAAAAAAAATATTTTACAATAAAATATTATCATAAGACAATATTTTTAGAATACAATAATCTTCTTCGTCGATCTGATATGATCCCTGAAACTGGTGTATACCGAGAAGACGGTCGCAATGGTCATTCTTGTAACTGGTGGCGTTGAAATTCTTCATCAAGATCATCATTTTCAGTTGCATCTTTCGTAGCTTATTGGGGCAACATAATAATTCTCTTCGTTCATGGGTACTGATGGTGTATAAATTGGAGGTGTGAATAAAATAGCCCAACATCACATATAAGCATTGCCATGAGAATGCTCTGAAAATTTAAATCCAAATCCCCTCTAGTGGATGTTGTTCATTGTAAATCATATGATGGAATCTAGTAAGTTGGTGGTCTTTTATAGTTGGTCGGTCCTACAAAGTCAGAGGGGCCCGCAAATGTTGTTTACCCAAGATAACCAGATGATTGTGGATATGTTCGAGCGACTCATTTAAGGGAGATCTACGTGTTCAGGAAGTTGAAGATCTCCTTGAAGCATTTGCTAATGATCTTCTCGCGACAGTGAAATCAGATCAATGTGGAACATCAGAAGTTGATCTACAGGGACTAGATGTTATGACATTTGTTCTATGAGATGACCGCGACCCGAACTCATGTCTCCCTGGCTGATAAAATGCGATATAATCGATGTAGATGGATTGTTCTACTCTACGTGATAGCTTCAATATCTCATTGTATCATTGTTTGATGGAGCTAGCACTTCCATCGCGATCGCCTCCAAACCTTTCTGTGATATCTTTACTACGAAAAAAGTAATCCAACTATATAATTGAAGAATTAAATTTATTGTTATGTATTATAATAAAAGTAATTAACAACAACTATTAAATATTGTAAACTCATACTATTATTCTCTCTCTTGACGATCGGGGGTAATATCTATCTGGCGGCTGAGTAGGGCGCTCCACTTGGTAGAGTGATGCCCAAAATCCGTACCAATAAAAATAATTAGCCAGTTCTTGTTCTCCATCTCCTTGTGACTGGTTAATGGTACTATATATGCCCGACAATGATTCCACATCTCAATATACCTCAGGTGATATTGCGTCCAGTCAACTTCAGCTTTACCTCGCCCATCGACTTTTTTAAAACCTCGTTCTATAAGTTCAATTCAATTATATTTAAGATAAAAATATGTCAGGAATGTGGGATTGAATAAATGGGTTTAGGGTTAAACCTGACTATGTCTTAGTCCGTCAAGTTCATTTTGTTACATACTTACATTTTTAGACGACCCTATACGTACCCACTGTTCATTTTATATGCATGTCATTTAACTAAATGAGATCAATCCACCTTAAAAATTTTGTTTGTTTATGTACAAAAATATTTAAGTTGGTATCTGAACGCAAGGGATTTGCCTGATAAATCACGAGTCAAAACATGATGGGTGGGCTTACCAACATGTAAGTGCTCCCAGCTCTATGTTTGCATCAAGTGCAAACACCCAACTTTTGTGGCACACTTAGGCTTAGTTAACAAATTTAATTTTTTATATCGATGTGTAAGCACTATGCCACTCAAAAAATATTTTTCAAACTCTTCTAAATTTTCCACTAATGCTAAATATTCTAAACGCACATAAGATCCAGACGTGTCTGGAAGAATAACACCCTATTATGAATAATATATAGGCATTGACATGCCTTAAAAATTCTAATGAAAGTGAATCGTTGTAAGACTCCCTATAAAATTGTCAGTATAACCATTGAAGTGGTATGATTGTTTGTGCTTCAAAGCGTGAAAAAAAATCGAGGTGTAATTTGATGATCTACGGGATGATGATAGAGAACATCATCTCTGGGGTGGTTCCCCAAAATTTCATTGCACATGCAGGCCAACTTGGCTAGCACAAAATTGGACCAACAACATTCCATCCTACCAAGGCATTTCCATCACTTCTAATACCAATAAGTACATATATATCTTGCAATGTGATAGTATCTCACATGAGAAAAAATGAATTTTGTGTAAGTTTAGAGAATGATAATTAATGTGGTAACATGTTAATATGTATTTGAATTTATCTTATCAACATGTAAATGGAAGGTATTAGTTAAAAGTCAGCATCACTCGAACATTATTGTTATAGATGCTGGTCTACTTTAATTTACTGAAAGTGTCTGACACATAAACATTGATGTATAGTTTCTATGTCTGGTTGACATAATTGGGTGAGTACATGTGCGCATTGGCCCAATTATAGAAAGTTTCCATGCACCCCCTACTCGTTGGCTTTTCAATGCATCTGCCACTGGCATGAATCAATCTCATGATTAAATTGTACACATTGAATTGTTAGTTTTTTTTTTTTTGAAGTGGTTTTCATGCACTCTACATTGTTCAATATTGACGAGATTCAAAATACATTGTAGCACATCCTTACTTGAAAATATCATTCTTTCAATTAATAAATGGAATGACATCATCTTCATATAAGGGGATGTGATTGGAGTTCGTTGGCACCTTGGTCATTTCAACGTGAAGATTCCAATCATATTTTCAGGTACACCTTATAAAAGTTATCACAGATCACCCATTAAAATCTATTCTCACCAGGCCAGAACATTCCAATCGACTACTCAAATGGGTCATGGAACTCAACGAGTTTGACATCTCCTATATTCCTTGAACGGTGATAAAGGCACAAGTTGTTGATTTTCTTGCAGATTTCTCTGAACTGAGAGGGCAAACGAAGATCTGGCGATCGACAAATCGACCTGGGCCCTGTTCACCAATGAGGCATCCCACCAATCAGATGTAGGACTTGGAATTTTCTTGTGCAGCTCGATAAGGGAAAGCACGTATCACTCAATCAAGGTAAATTTTTCATTTGACTAACAACCAAGCGAAATATGAAGTTTTGATTGCAGGACTTCGCCTAGCCTCGGAAATGGGAGTCCTCCACATGATGGTAAAGGCCAATTCACAACTCATAGTAAACCAGATGAATGAGGAATTTGAAACCAGGGACGAGACTATGATGAAGAACCTAGGGAAGGTGAAGACGGTGATCAGTCGGTTTGCCAGCTTCAAAATCGAACACGTCCGAAGGGAAGAAAATCAGGTTGTTGATTTTCTATCCTGAAGCCTTCATATAGAAGGAGGACTACCAAAAAGTCTCAGTTAAGCCTCGATCAAAGAACCACTAGCAATAGAGATTTATCAGGAGAAGAAGAAAAGTTGGATGAGCTCATACAACTGTAAGGGATATCAGCGAAGAAGTCAATGATCACGAGAGATTCAAATATAAAACTGCCCAATATCTACTAATCAAAGGAAAACTCTTCAGGAAGTCGACCACATCCTTATACCTAAAGTGCATTGACAAAGACAAGGTTGAGGACATACTCCGAGAAGTTCACGATGGGGAGTGTGGAAGCCATTCCGAGAGAAAGACGCTAGCTCACTGAATTTAGCAACAAGGTTACTTCTAGTCTAACTTGCTCAAGGATGCTGAAGAATAATCTTGAAGGTGTACACAATGTCAGAAATATAGACTATTACGCTATCAACCAGCCCAAAAACATAGCTTGATCGTCAGTCCTTGGTTGTTCGTTATGAGAGGCCTCGACATCTTGGAACTTTTCCCCCTGTCAAAAGGACAATGAAAGTTTTTACTGGTAATCGTTGATTATTTCTCCAAGCGAACTGAAGCAAGGCCTTTGACGCACATAAGAGTAGAGGCAATTTAGAACTTCATATGAACTAACCTGATTTGTCGATATGGATTACCCCTCATCATCGTTACAGATAATGAGACCCAATTCACTGACAAGGGAGTTTAAGATTTCTGTAAGAGTCAATGGATCAACTTGAAATTTTCTTCTGTGCATCACCCTCGAGCTAATGGACATGCAGACACTACAAATAAAATCATCATGAATTTGCTAAGGAAAAAAGTATGAGAGAATGGGCAGACCTAATCCCTTCGGTACTCCGAGGATCCGAACAACACCGTCCACATCCACCAAACATACCCCTTTATGTTGCAACACGGAATGGAAGGCATGTTACCGATTGAATATAATAATTATAGCAAGAGAGTACTCTCTGACTCAGCTTTCAACAAGGAGGATTTAGAAGAGTGGCTTGAGATGAACGACAAGGGAGTTGAGCTCACCCTAGAAATGGCCGAGGAGAATCGAGCCAAAACAACCCTCCGACAAGAAGAGGTCAAGCGAAGGACAACCAAATATTTTAACAAATATGTACGTGATGAAAAGTTTACCCCAAGGGACCTAATGGTGAAGAAGGCCGACCCATTCGCCAAGGGGCAAGCTATCAGGAAGCTGGATCAAACCTAGAATGTTCCCTACATCATCCACCAAAGAGATGGATCTGGAGCATACAAATTGGAGACATTCGCAGGAAATGAAGTCCCACGAACTTAGAGTTTCGACGAACAAAAGAAATTCATCCCTTGAAGCTATCCCTACTTATAGAAGGAACATTGTCATGATTATTTCATATAACTCTCATTATCTTAGAAAAACTCAATATAATAAATGGGTGTTTTACATTTATAACATCCAAAAGTTTGAAATTTCACGCATTCAATATTGTTAATTGTATTTTCTTTTATTATTTTCATGCTATAGAACTAAAGCAATTACACTCGGGGAATAGACACAATTACACTTTGGGAATTGACACAGTTACACGGGGAACTAACGCA